TGCCAAGATGACCTCCAAGACGACCAAGATGGTATCCAAGACGGCAGAAATATCCCCAAGAGAGCCGAAGGTGGCCCAAGAGGCGCCCAAGATGCCTCCAAGACAGCCCAAGATGCCTCCAAGACAGCCCAAGATGCCTCGAAGACGTCACGTCCTCCAGGAAGGCCCGAAGAAGCCAAAATCAATGATTTTCCTTAGGTGTTTGAAAGATGTTCGCATTTGCTTCTTTTCGGCCTTCCGACGATCCTAGACGGCCCAAGAGGACCCCAAGATCGCCCCAAGATCGCCCAAGATGCCCCAAGATGTCCCCATGACGGCCAAGACGCCTCCAAGACGGCTCCAAGAATGGCCCAAGAAGCCTCCAAAACGCCCAAGATGGACGGTCCTGAAGCACCCCAAGAGGGCCCCAAGTCGGTTCAGAAAGGCTCCCAAGACGGCTTCCAACGGCGTCAGACGGGCCAGGAACGCCCTAAGACGGCTAAAGAGGCCCCCAAGAAGCCCTCGAGAAGCCCTCAAGAGCTCCCAAGAGGCTCAAGGAAGCCCCCAAGAGGCCTCCAAGAGGCCCGAAGAGTGCCTCGAGAGGCCGCCAAAACGTCTCCTCCTCCTCCTCCTCCTCCTCCTCCTCCTCCTCCTCCTCCTCCTCCTCCTCCTCCTCCCTCTCCTGATCCTCCGCGGCGTTCCCCAAAAGATTTCCACAGCAGTTCGGGGAACACTTCGTCTGATAGCTTCGCGACTGTCCAGCTCCAAACGTTTGGCCATAGGGCTTCCAGGAGACGGCTTAGAAACGCCCCAAGAAACTCCAGCGAGACTCCCCCAGTAGCCTCCGACGGCGTTAGACAGGCCAGAAACGCCTCCGACGGCGTCGGACGGGCCAAAACCGTCCCAAGACGGCCAAAGAGGCCGCCAAGCTCAAACCCAACTTTCGGCCACGCAGGCGCTTCCAAAAAGGCAGGGGGCGGCGGTGATTCGTCGTAGGCGTCTTCGATATATGTATACATACATTAATATGTATACATACACATATATACACACATTAAAACCCGCAACCGTACCGCTGGGCATGGAGTGTGCGTGTCCTCAGGTCCTGGGCCCAATCCTCTAAACCTCCTGAGGAGTCAATTAGCAGCCCAGAGCCCAAATTGCCAAATCTTCCAGGCCCTGGCGCGGCCTGTCGTGGGTCTCCAGCGTCTTCTCGCGCGGCCCAAGAGGGCTCCAAGAGGCAGCCAAGACGGTCCAAGAGGACCCCGAGTCGGCGAAGATCGCCCCAGGACGCCCAAGACAGACCCCAGACGGCCCAAGAGGCCGCCAAGACGCCCAAAGAGGCCTCCAGGAGGTCTCCCAAGAGGGCCCCCCACAGGCCAAATTTACTGATTCTTCATGGGTTTTTGCGTTGTTACCATTTCGGCTTCCCGACGCTCGCAGACGACCCTAGAGGACCCCAAGAACGCCCACAGACGGCCCACGAGGCCTCCAAGAGGGCCCCAAAACGGCCCAAGAGCGCCCCAAGACAGTCCAAGAGGCGCCCCAAAACGGCCCAAGAGGGCCCCAAGAGGGCCCCAAAAAGGGCCCAAAAGAGAGAGCACCAACAGAAAATCCGAGCCTTCCGCCCCAAGAGGCCCCCAGGAGGTCCCAAGAGGCGCCAAGGATGTCCCAAGAGGCCCCCAAGAGGCCCCATGAGGCCCCCAAGAGGCCCAAAAGAGGCCGCAGGAAGCCCCCAAATGGCCCCCAAGAGGCGTCCAAACTGCCTCCAAGATGCCCCCGAGAAGCCACCCACGAGATCCCAACGAATATCCCACACCACAACCTGGCGGGATAGGCCGAAGGCCATTAAATATCTACACACATGCGTGTGCATATATATATATATACATACACATATACATATACATATACATATACATATACATATACATATACATATACATATACATATACATATACATATACTTATACATATGCATATACATATATACATATATCCGCCATCGCACAGCGAAGCGAAGCACGAGTTGAAGCATCCACATTCAGGACAATTTGCGTTCTCCATCCTCAGTCCTGAGGATTCTTCAAAGGACCGGCAGCCCCGAGTGTAGGGGGCTCCCCAGCGCTCCTGGGCACTTCCCGCGCTCTTGAGCGCTTCTGCAACTTGTCGGAAGACTTTTCGGAGCTGAAGGGGCCCCAAGACGGGCCAAGAGGGCCCAATACCTTCCAAGACTGTACAAGTGGCCTCTGTCGGCCCAAGAGGGCCCCAAGACGGCCCAAGAGGGCCCCAAGAGGGTCCCAAGAGAGGCCCCAAGACGGAGAACACGACCTGACATTTCGAGCCCTCCACGAAGACGACCTCCGATCCGAGACCGCCAGCAGACAGGTCCCTGACTAGCCCGCCAGGAGCTCCAGGAGGCCCCCAAGAGGCCCAAATCAGGCCCCAAGGTCTCCGCGAGGCCCTAACACACACACACACACACCAAAACCGCCTCCAAGAGTCTCCGAGAGGCATCCCAAGAGATCCCCACGGGCATCCAAGAGGCCTCGGACCTACAAACAGGGCACGGTGGCAAGATGGGCCACAGGCCGCTAAAAATGAATGTCTCCAGTTCACAGGACAGTCCACAGGACAATCCACCAGACAAGTCACATGACAATCCACGAGAAAATCCACGTGACACTTCACGAGACAGTCCGCGTGACATGACAATCCGCGCGACAAAGTCCAGGACAAGCCATGCGACAATACACAGGACAATCCTCTGAGATCCCCCCTTTGCCTTCATGTTCCAGGAACCCACGCGTCTGGACGAGCAGCTTCATGTCAGAACTGACACTGTTGTGCCAAATCGAACTGTCTTTGCCCCAAGCGAGGGGCGGGCCAAGGGCCGAGGACATCGTGGGCACACGCAGAACTCATAAGCTCACAGAGGGTGTGAGGGAGGAGGGAGCACGGACGAGGGACGAGAGAGGAGGCAGGAGGACCACGGACCGAGGATCGACGACCGCCCAGACTCCCCTGCATCCGCCCCATGAGGTATCCGAGGCCTCTGGAAGTGCCTCTGGAACCCCCAGAAGGACCCTCGCCCCTCCTCCCTCCTCCTCCTAAAGAGGAGGAGGAGGAGGAGGATGAGAGGAGGAGGAGGAGGAGAAAGAGGAGGAAAAAGAGGAGAGGAGGAGGAGGAGGAGGAGGAGGAGCAGCGAGCGACCTTCTGGATCTCAAGGTCCTCCATCTTCTGGCCGGGGACGAGGCCCATGTAGTCCAAAGCGCGCTGCATTCCTGCGCGCTTGTCGGGGTCCTGTAGGGCAGGCAAGGATTTGCGTGCGTTCGCGCTCGCGGTCGAAGAGTACAAGACGAACGCAGAAGGAGAGAGAGAGAGAGAGATACACAAGATATAGAGGGACAGGGAAAGAGAGAAAGAGAGAGAGAGAGAAAGAAAGAAATAAAGAATTAAACAAAGAGAGGGAGAGAGGGAGAGAGAGGGGTAATAACTGTAAACTGTAGAGAAGAAAAGCGAGTGATACACATCTACAGTGTAGAAACGAACAACAACAACAACAACAACAACAACAGCAGCAGCAGCAACAACAATAACAACAACAACAACAACAACAACAACAACAACAACAACAGCAACAACAACAACAGCAACAACAACGACGACGACAACAGCGTCAAACAACAACAACAACAACAACAACAACAACAACAACAACAACAACAACAACAACAACAACAACAACAACAACAACGACAACGACGACGACGACGACAACAGCGTCAACAACAACAACTACTACAACAACAGCAGCAACAACAACAACCACAACAACAACAACAACAACACTAACAACAACAACAACAACAACAACAACAACAACAACAACAACAACAACAACAACAACAACAACAACAACAACAACAACAATAAAGCATGTTAAGACTGTTTGTCCTTATCTGCTCGAGCGTCCAAGAACGCGTATTTCCCAGACCCTCGATACCCGCCCTCTTCGTCTTCGATCGAACCCCTTTTGGGGGGTATACCTTTCTTCCCTGCAGGCCGGGCCCGGGCAAGTGGCGGGGCGGCCGCGGACCGTCGGCCTGGCCAGCGGCAGCGCTGATCAGCGGGGCGGCCGCGGACCGTCGACCCGACCCCAAGAGGGACGGATAGGGGACCGACCACGACGACGACGACGACAACCGACAACGTCGACGACGACGGCGACGACGACGACGACGAGCGAAAGCGAGAGCGAGAGAGAACGACAGCAGGGCCAGAAGGACACGAAGTAGGCCACGAAGGGCGACAGTGGGGACACGAAGGGAATGCGTATGGGGTCACGAAGAGCGCGAACGAGCGGGGGTCACGAAGGGCAGATAATGCGGGGCCACAGAAGGCAACGATGGGGCGACTGAGGGTAGCAACTGGGCCACGTAGGACAGTGAGGGGGCCACAAACGGCGACAGCGGGGCCACGAAGGGCATGCACATGGGGCCAGAACGGGCGCGAACGAGCGGGGGCCACGAAGGGCATACATATACTGGGCCGCGGAGGGCAAGGACGGGGCCACTGAGGGCAGCAACGGGGCCACGAAGGGCAGCGAGGGGTCCACGAAGGGCGACAGCGGGGCCACGAAGGGCAGCGAGGGGGCCACGAAACAAAGCGAGGGGGCCACGAAGGGCTGCAACGGGGCCACGAACTGCAGCGAGGAGGCCACGAGGGGCTGCAACGGGGCCACGAAGGGCAGCGAGGGGGCCAGGAAGGGCTGCAAGGGGGCCACGAAACAAAGCGAGGGGGCCACGAAGGGCTGCAACGGGGCCACGAAGGGCAGCGAGGAGGCCACGAGGGGCTGCAACGGGGCCACGAAGGGCAGCGAGGGGGCCAGGAAGGGCTGCAACGGGGCCACGAAGGGCAGCGAGGAGGCCACGAAGTGCTGCAACAGGGCCACGAAGGGCAGCGAGATCCCGATTCCTAGGTAATCTGTAAGGGAGTCATAAGCGTGAGCCCGATTCC